TGTCGATTCTGCGTCGAGTCCACGCCGAATTCTCGTCGAGCCCACGTCGGAGTACAAGAACACACTTCCAGTTACAGGCAGGAAGGGTTCCCCCGACATGCAAAGCAAGACGACGATCTTCTAAGATTTGAGATGGCTCGAAAAGTTCTCTGACGCGCCGGAGAGGCCTCCAGAACCCAGACATCCGACGTCTCGATTTTTTCGAGACGCGGGCCCCCGACCTCCCGACCACTTCCCTGGGACCGGTTTTTCATCCCGAGTCGTTTTTTGACGGTCCCGAGGCCCGGCGAGGGCCCCGAAAGGCCAAAAACTATGAAAAACCTCCGTCTCGATTTTTTCGCGACGCCCGATGTCTGGGAACATCCAAGTGGGTCACCGGAGACGCCGAGAGAGGGCCTCGGAGAATCCCGAACGGCAAACATCACTGGTCTCCCGCTGGCCACCTGGCAGTCTTCGCAGGGGCGCCGGGTCGGGCGAGCGCGGGCGAGTCCGAGCATTTTCGCCAGCGGTTTAGCGGCGCGGCGGAGGGGGAAGACGGGAAGAGGGCAGGACTTTCAGAGCCCCGAATCATCAGGGGTAACTCGGGTCAGGGCTAACTCGGGTTCCTTTTTCGGGAATCCAAACCCGAGCTACCCCGGACCCGAGTTACCCCGGATAACTCGGGCGTCCAGAGCCCCGAATCATCAGGGGTAACTCGGGTCAGGGCTAACTCGGGTTTCTTTTTCGGGAATCCAAACCCGAGTTACCCCGGACCCGAGTTACCCCGGATAACTCGGGCGCCCAAGACTTCTCTCACGCCCCCCTGGCCTTCTGGGACATGACTTCGGAGAAGGCTCAGAGAGCTCCTCAGGAGGCTGGGGGCCTCCTTCTGAACCTTCTGGGAGGGTCCTCCCCCCTTCTGTCTTTCAATCCGAGCGCGCCGCCGAACTTTCCCGTCGCAGCGCGGCAGAGGCAATCCGCACGCGCGCTCGGGCCAGACTGGTGACGGCATCGAGCGCGCCGCCGAAAAGGAACAACAAGGACGCCGAACTTCGCACATCGAGCCCCACGGTGCGCGACGCGAGGCTATCCTCGCGCCCTCGCGCCGCCGTCTCTGCAGAGCAGACCGCGGTGCGCAACGCTGGGGTGACCTAAGAAACCTTTCGCGGCAGCTCACGCGAACCTCACAGACCATCTTGTTGGCTCTTGTGGATCGGCTCTGAGCGACGCGACTCGATGCTCATTGGCGCTCTCTCGTCGATTGCCAGGCGCTAGTCGACACCTAGTGCACTCTGAAGACGGACTTACGAGGGTGTCCCAGGCTCCCATGCCTGGTTACCAAGAAAACCCAGACGCCCAAACAGTTTCCTAAGCCAGCGTTCGGGCGTCCATTGCTCGTGCATGTGTCGGTGTCGTGCGTGCTGTCTTTGCCAGATGATCCAGGATGCTCCTCTATGGCCCTCGCCGAGAAAAAATGCACACGTCGGGGCGATGCCAGGTTTCCCATAATGAAGGTCATGCGCCAACAGAGCAACACTGCTTTCGCGCGGCTCTCCCGCCTCCGCGAGGCCGACCCCGAAAATCGGCTACCAAGTCGTCTTCACAGTTAGCCTCAAAACGCCATCCAGACCGGCAGAGCAGTTGCTCACACCGCTCGATACTAGATTCACAACCACCCCGCAAGATTTGACGCAACCGCCCCAACTGCTTTCCACAATCATCCCGAATACTATTTATAATCGCACCGCACGTTTTCTTTCAGAACTGCCCCGATAGGCTTCCACGACTACACCGAACGCGTTGTTCACAACCACTCCGAGCGTTTCTCATAACCACCCCTGTAAAGATGCACTCGAACTCTTCACCATCGAAAATTTGGGCGATGATCTTGAAATCCCGGCTCAAGGGAGGAGGGAGGGAGGGAGGAAAGGGAGGCGATGGAGGAGGCAAGCCAACGGGCCACTTCCAACCAGCTCCTCCGCTGTCGGGACACAGGGAGCCGAGCAGGATGCAACGCACGGGAGTGCAAACAGGCGCCCCCACTTGCTACTCTCTTCTCCCTATCCTCCTCACTCTCCCCCCCTTCCTCCCCCCCCTCTCTCTCGTTCGTTATTACGTTCTCTCTCTCTCTCTCTCTCTTTGTCTCGTTCTCCTTTGACGTTAATTTCTCTCCATGCTCCTCGATATATTGCTATCGTGTTTGTTGTGGTTTATCTCTCTCGTTCCCTCTCTCTTTCGATGCACATATTTGTATCGCGCTCTCTCTCACTTCAGCTTTGTCCATCGTACTCTCCCCCATGTCCTCTTTCTCAACAAATACACAACATGAATACTACAGCCCCCAAGGTAACGCTTTTGCCAAGTCAATAAAATTAAAGTCGCCCCCACCAGCAACGGACCCGGCGTGCTTGGGGTTAACCTGATGCCAGGCTCTATAGCCACCCTACCAACACTGGCCCGACATGCGCAGAAGGCAACTGCGGATGCTGAGCGCCGCTCCATGAAACGAATGCCAGTCCCAGTTTCGGCCTCCCCGTCGTCAAATCAAGTGTCGATGGCGCTGGAGGTTGCATCACGGGTGGCGCCGCAGACGGCGCGTTCTGTTCTTCCACACATAAGACTTCAAGCATTAACTTCTTTTGGTTGTACCAGTCGATAAATGCCAGCGGTTGAGAATGGCGCTCCCACTGCAACGTCGGCCTCGTTTTCGGATCGGCGCTTTTCTCCCGTCATTCAGAACGGCGCTCGCGCCACAGCGCGGGCCCTTTGCTGGATCCGAGTCCTCTTGCATCGTCGTCGCCCCCCTCATTTCCCCTCGTACGCCTTTCGCTGGTCTTCCTGCTCCTCTCAACCCTTCTACTCCAGTTCCTGCTGCTGCTGTTCGTCCTCGTCCTCCTCTATCATCCTCCTCCTTCTCCTCCTGCTCATCCTCCTATCTGCGCAGTTCCCCTGTTCCCGATGGCGCAGAACACAATGTTTGTTTTGCTGTTGGAATTCCAGGTCGGCTATGACAAGCGCCCGTGGATAGAAAAACAACAGCGCCAGAGGAAGGGATGGGATGGGGGATAGGATGCCAGATCTGGCGCGAGCACACCAAGATTGTCCCCCTCTCCCTCTTGTCTCTCACCTCCCTAACATGTCCTCCCCATGCAAATTCAAAAAAATCTCCACCCATCACGCCATTGGCGGCAACCACTCCGCACCCTTGCTTTGAGAAGCCCACTCGTCTACCTGAAAAAGTAGCGTCGAAGTCAGAACTGCATTTTAGAGGCTGGGGGGTGACACCAAACGTACCCATTGGGTGGAAGAAGTAGGTAGAACCATGAAATAGGAAGGTGCTGAAAGTAGACTGGGTGTCCGCCCGCCTCCTGAAGACGAGGGAAGAGGGAAACACACTCGACACTTGAAGTAGGCGGCGAAATACCTGATTCCAACGACCGATGGAAAAGGTTCCCCAACAAGGAGAGCAATGTCGGTCTCGGTTCGTGTCGGGCATGCGGGCGAGGCGGGGCGAAGCTGCGCGAGTCTTGTCCCTGGCTGGGGCCACGTCAGCAAACAAACACGTAAAGTTGTCCCGGTGGTTGTCCCGACGGTTCGGCGAACCCTACAATACTGCAAGATGCGCTCTGCTGGGCTATGCTGCAGAAGAAATGCGCCCTGCGGTGAAAACAAACGTACAGCACAAACTTACAAAGCGCCGGGCGGGCACATGTGTACATTTGTACGTATGTATTAATGCATGTGTGCATGCAAATGTGCATGTCAATGTATACCGATGGGCAACCGTACACGAAGCAACCATGCAGAACGCAGGGTGAATCTACCAAGCCCAATGTGGCACGTGTAGGTAACTCGCCACATAGATATCAGTAGTGAGCGAGTGGGATCGATATACGGACAAACAACTATAAGTATAGACATGTATATTGATTTTAGATCGATGGACGGAAAGACAAATTTCCCCGATGCGTATCACGATGATTGTCCCGATGGTTGTCGCAATGACCATCCCTATCGATAGACAGTGAGAGCGGCATGTATGTAGTTATACCTATACATATCGATACGCCTTGTAGTGGGTCCGAAATGTAGACAGTGAGACCGATAGATGCCGACAGCGGCAGGTATATGAAGTGCAGATAAGCCCGTAATTTTGCATAGAGATACGCATGCATATAGACATAGGTGTATACACGGATACAAGTGGAGAGATACTGACATATATGAACTTCGATTATGTTGTCGACATGTATGACCTCTTGTGTGTGTGTGTTTGCAGTGTGCGACTGATGCAAGTCCAAGGTGCTGTCGCCCCCAAAGCAAAACTTATCACCCGAAGAGTGGCCTATGAGGTAGTTCGAATGGTCAAACATTGGCAAGCGGGGGCCCGCAGTGAAAAACAGATAGAGGGAGGCCTCTCAGACTCTGGAGTTGGGGCATTGAGCAGCCGGATTCAGAAGAGCGAAATCGAGTGTCAGAGCCGGAGTCGGAAAGAACGCAGGGGTCGAGAAGGTAGGAGCCGGAGTCGGAGAGACGACAATGGTAAATCGAGCCGGAGTCGGAAAGATACGAGCTGGACGTGGTGAGGTCGGAGGCAGGAGGGAGGGACGCTTGCGGAAGGAGTGAGAAGGCGGTCGAGCGGGGAGGAGCGCCGAGGGAAGCCGAAGGGACCAAGGGGAGGACGGAAGCGACAGTGGAGGAGGAGCGAGGCGGGCGGAGCGACGAGGGATGCGGAGCAAGAAAGAACGGGGGGGGCACACAGGCAACAGGAGGAGGAGGAGGAGGAGGAGGAGGAGGAGGAGGAGGGTGAAAAGCAGCCGCAGTTGTTGCTTGTAGCACGCAGTTGTTGTTTCAGCATGCAGCAGACTCGATCCGTAGGCCTTGGGTCAAGCTCGGCACGAGCAGCAGGAAAGAAGCATCTTTTCATTCCAAGCAGATCTTCGCATTGGTAGCGGGAGCGATTGGTTCCTATCATTCACGGAGTCAGTGGGCAGCGCTCATCGAGTGAGTGGCCGCAGCAGGCCACAGACACTGACGAGACGGAGAGCACGGACAGCGAGTCTGTGAACAGCAGTTGGGATCTCCTGCACACGATGCCAGAGGCAGGAGAACAAGCAGGCGCCGACGGAGGTGGTCTGCAGTTTCGAGGTGATGGTCGAATGCCAGGGGTGAAGCTCACGGTCCTCAGCAAGGAGTTGGCGAGGAATCCCAATTCCTATCGCGAGTGGCGAAAAGAGATTGAGATCATCGAGAAGATCTACAAGGTGGCTCCAGCGGACCTCGGACCCTTGGTGTACCTCAGCCTGGAGAAGGGCGATGGACAGCCAAGGGAGTTGGTCGAGACGCTCGACCTAGACGTGCTCAGCAGCGAGGTCGGCCTGCGGAACCTGATGGAGATTCTGGACGAGGAGTTCACCGAGAAGGACTACGAGCGCAGCGAGAAGCACCTCAGGGCGTTCGAGAAGTCCCGCAGAGGCATCGGAGAAGATGTCGACGACTACATCGCGAGGTTGAAGACGGCCAGGCGCAATCTTAAGGTACACGACCCTGGCACTAGGTACTCCGACACCTCATTCGCAAGAAAGCTCTTGCGGAGCTCAGGGCTATCACGAGAAGCCCAGCGGCAGGTACTAGCAGCAGCAGGCGCGGAGTGGAACTCGGAGAAGATCGAAGCGACGATCAAGATGGTCTATGGAGATGTTCACCTAGACGAGAAGCGGCGTGTGGACAAGAGGAACGAGCACCCGAGCAAGCACACGCAGTATCGACAGTTCCCTCCACGGTTTGGACAGCCCACTTCGAAGTTTACTTCAGGCAGCAGTGCAGGAGGAGGAAAGCCTTCCGGAACATCGGGAGGTGGAAAAGGCTGGTTTCGGCGACCGGTCTGGAATGCCAATTACGCAGGTGGAATGGACGCCGATGAAGAGTTCAGCCAAGATGAAGATTACCCTGATTACGAGGACGAAGACGGTCAGCCACAAGACGCCCTCGTGGCGGAGGAGGCGCCAGACAACCACCAGGAGGACGAAAACGAGTACGGCGAGCCGGACTCGGACGCCATGGACGACGAAGAGGAGGTGGTGCTGGACGCGTTCTACCAGGGCTTCAAGGCGAAGAAGAAGCAGTTTGGCCGCGGCAAGGGACGCGGGAAGAACACCACGAGTGGCGGCCGGGGAAAGAAGTCCGGAGCGTGCAACGACTGCCTTCAGCCAGGCCACTGGAAGGGCGACCCAGAGTGCCCGAAGGTGATCGCGGGGATTACGTCTCCGTTCAAGCCTGGCGGCAAGGGCGACGGCAAGAAGAGTTCTTCCTCGGCGAACGTGGCAGCAACGATGGCTACGGACAGTACGGCGCACATGGAGTTCAAGTGGTTGAACGACGGAGCGGAAGCATTGCCATCTCCCCATCCGGGACCGGTGGATGCCTTCGTGCTGGGTTCGCAGAAGGTCAAGGCGGAGGTGACGCAAGAGAGCGACAACCGTGGGCTGGATCCCAGGAGGCCTCCGACACCGGGCTCAGAGTTCGAAGACGACTCCTTCGAGAAGGACTCAGACGAATCCGAGGGGGTCTACAAGAGCTGGACCGAGGAGCAGCTCAGTGCGGAGTTGGCAAGGAGGAAGCACAAATCGACTGGACCGCGGGAGGAGTTGGTCGGAAGACTCCTCCGATCCAACCTGCACGCGACGTTCATGGATGAAGAAGCTGACGGATGGCAGGATGTGGAAAAGGAACCCTCTGGAGCGGCTGGAAGTGCCGATGGCGGCAAGAAGCCAAAGCCCTCAGCGCGGCCGAAGCCTAAATCGACACCAGCGGCTTCGAGGTTCCAGTCTGAGAGGATCCACATCAGCGGCGACGACGTACGCTCGTTGGTCGATCGGTACAGGGCGCGGCTGGACGAAATCGTGGTGGACTTCACGAACCGCGCGCGCGACCACCACACGGGGTACGTGACCGACTGCGAGCTGGAGGTGTTCAGGATCCTGACGGCGAAGCAGCTGCAGGATATACTCTTGATGCTCGAGCAGCCTTACAGCGGCTCAAAGCAGGAGAGGATCGATAGGCTGATATAGAACCCCTGCGAGCACAAGAATGCGAGCTCCGGCGAGGTCCTGGACAACGTACGCTGGACAAACACATCTACCTGGACGTTCGCGATCTGCAAGAACTGCAACCGGTACGTCCAGCGGATCCCGAAGACGAACTACGCGAAGGAAATCAGGGACAAGGCGTACAGCCGCGAGGACAACAAGGACGCGCTCGTGGTCAATGACGTGTTGTGGGACGACATCGGCACGACGGAGCTAATCAACGATAGCGGGTGCAGGCGCAGCGTCGCAGGTCACGAGTGGCACGACAACTTGCAGGCCCACCTGAAGAGTTTGGGCCTCCAGCCGGTCAAGAAGGACATCAATGAGGAGTTCAGGTTCGGCGGCGGTGACGTGGCAGTCAGCACGGAGTCGTTCGTCTATCCTGCTGGGATAAATAGCACACACGGAGTCATTGAGGTGGCTCGAGTGGAAGGACGAACACCACCACTGCTATCGCAGCAGGCGATGCAGGATCTAGGCGTGATCGTCAATTACCGCAAGAAGGTGATGGACATCGAGGAGGCCGGAGTGATCAAGAAGCCGATCAAACAATCACGGTCGGGACATTTCCTCGTAGACATCGGAGAGTATGGCAACCCGAACGAGTTCCCGGAGTGTTTCCATATCAATGGCAAGATGGACATGACCCCACAGGAGGAGGCCGGCGAACTCGGGTTCAAGGACCTCTCGCGTGTTGGAGTCCTACAGCGAGGTAGGAAGAAGCGGTTGCAGAGGACCACGAGAGGAGTTGCTGATGCGTTGGCTGCAGAGGCGAAGAGATCCGTCCACAAGGACCCACCGACAGTGAAGTCGAGATCCAAGAGGTGGAAGTTCCTGGAGATATTCTCGTGGACGCTTGCTCTATCGTGCGAGGCGTCGGCGCAAGGGTGGCAGGTCATGCCGCCAATTAGCATCGAGACGGGCTTCGACCTCTACACACGTTCTGGGCGGGCACGAGCCTGGAGGGAGGTCGTCGACAACAAGCCAGACGTGGTGGCCATGGCTTGGCCCTGTGACCCCTGGACGGTGATGCACAACTACCAGGCACACCGCCCGGCGTTCCAGAAGGAGTTGCAGGTGCGACAACAGCAGTCCCGTGGAGCGTTGAGGTTCGTGGTGAAGAGGGTGGCTGACTACCAACGCAAGCGCGGAACCTACTTCTACGGCGAGAACCCGCTCACAAGCAAGGCCTTCCAGGAGGAGCCGATAGTGGAGCTGCTGAAGTCGCACGGCACGACGGTGGTGGACATGTGCGCGTTCGGGCTCCGACATCCAGACTCGGATTTACCTATTAAGAAGCCATCCCGAATCATCATGTCCACGCAGACGATGGCGGACAAGATCGAACGACGGTGCCCAGGACACCGACAACACGCTAAGATCGAAGGGCGATTGGCTACCCAAAACATGAGGACGAGCACGCACGCCGGCGGCTACACGAAGGAGTTCGCCGAGGCCGTCATCAGCGTGTTCACGGAGGCGTTGGACATAAGGACTACACACGACGCCCTTGCGAACGAGGCGAAACGACGACGCATTACAACACCGACGATATCAAAACGGAGAATGCCAGCCCCAAACGCCCAACAAAAAGAGAAGAGAGTGAGGGTTGTATCTACGACTCCTCCGATTACGATTACTCCACCTATCACCACACCCACGTGTTCACGTTTGGGTAACGACAAGAAGGGCATCATCAAGAAGGTGCGAGCGCCGACGTTTTCACATGGCGGCGCTAGCCAACTACGACGTCCAGTTTCATTCGACCAGACGAGGTATTTGACGAAGTTGACGCCCGGCTGGCATGGCAGTGGCGACCTTGTGATACACGTGGGACAAGGTCGGGTTCAACTATGGTCGAAGAACTATCCCGAGCACACCGTGAGATCCGTTTATGCGGTCAAGAAGACAAGTGACCGTGGCGGGAAGCAGTGGTATTGCGAAGAATTTGACAAACAGGTGGACCAAGATGGACCAGAAACCTCGGGCACGCGAGGAGAACTGCGGAAGGTGGTGACGATACTGAAGAAGGTTCCGCCCGGACTCCGAGGAGCCCCACCTGAAGTTCTACCTGAAGTTATACCTGAAGCTCTACCGGAAGTACCCCCAGAAGATCCTGAAGGACAACAACCACCGGAGCCTCAAGAGCAGCAAGTACCTCAGACGACAGCGGAAGAGGACGAGAACCCGGAGGAAGAGGTGGAACAGGAGGGGGACGTGCCAGAGGAGGCGGACGTCACCAGGGACCCGCTGTATCCAGAGGATCTCCCAGCGGGCGAGATGTTCACTACGACGAGAGGCCAACAAGAAGTGGCCCATGTTCCGCCTGAAGTTCGCGCGGAAGTACGACGAGCACACCGGAATATGGGTCATTGCGGCCGAGAAGCGCTACTACGAGTGATGAGGATAGGCGGAGCCTCCCAGCTGCACCTGGACTACGCGAAGGTATGGCAGTGCGAGGTGTGCGCGAGACGAGCAGCTCCAGAGCGACGTCGAGTGGTGTCGAGCCGACAGAGACCCACGTCATTTGGGATCGCGGTCGGGGTGGACACCAAGGAGCTGAAGGACGCGAGTGGAGGCAAGTACCTGGCCCTGAATTGCGTGGATTTCGCGACGAAGTTCTCGTGCCTGATCATGCTGGAGAATCCCTCCAGTGCAGAGGCAGCCAGGATGTTCATGACGAAGTGGTGCGCCTGGGCCGGAGTACCTATCGTGTGCCACTCCGACAACGGCTCGGAGTTCAGGAAGGATTTTGCATCCTACGCGGAGTCGGTGGGAATCACGATGAGAGTGGTGCCCACGGAAAGTCCGTGGCAACACGGGCTGGTCGAGCGCCACGGGGCCGTCAGCAACGACATCGTGCGCGCGATTGTGGACGAGTGCACCATCCAGGGCCCGGCCGAGATGGAGTTAGCCATAGCGGCGGCGAACATCTGCAAGAACCGAAGAGTGGATCCATCAGGATACAGCCCCAGGATGAGAGTTTTCGGTTGTGGAGACAGGTTACCAGGCAGCGTGCTGGACAGCCTCCTCAGCGACGAGCAGTACCCAGAGATCGCCGTGCACGACGCGGTGCTCAAGGACTACCAGGTCCAGCGGTCGCAGAAGATACGCGAGGCGGCTCAGGTCGCGCTGGCGAAGCTGGACAACAGCGACAAGTGGAGGAAGGCCATCGTCCACAACTATCGACCCACACCTTCGCCGTGGATGCCCGGAGAGTGCGTGTTCTTCTGGCGAGCGGCAGGTACCTTCAAGCCGCAGGCACGATCTACAAGACGAGCAGACCGTTGGCACGGTCCAGCAGTCATCCTCGGCAGGGAGTGGGGACGCGAAGGCCAGAACGAAGAGTATTGGCTGGTGTTCAACGGGAACCTCCTGCTGGTGGCACCACAACATATCAGGTCGGCAACCCCAGAGGAGCGCTTGGCGAGCGAGGCCATCGGCAGCATCCTCGAGAACTACAACATGGACCTGAGCGGGATCTCGAGGGGTCAGCACACGTTCGAGGACTTGAGACCGAGCTCGATGGAGAGTACGACGATACCTCCGAATCCTGTTGAAGTGCCAGTGCCGGGAGTTGTCTCAGAACGAGTGGAGGAACCACGACAGACACCTGAGCCCGAAGCTCAGCCATCACCAGCAGGGAGTGTTGGGGCGCCTACGCCACCACCTACACCACCATCGCAGATAGAAGAGGTTGTGCCTCAGGCACCAGTGGTGGAGGCGGTGTTCAACCAAGCCGTCGAGACCCCAGTCCCGGACCTGGACACGGAGACGCTGTACGCGATGAACGACGTGTTCTCGCTGGAGCTTCGTCCCTTTCAAGCAGGCACCAAGGGGAAGGAGCTGGATTCGAGGAAGTTCACGAAGGCGGAGTGGCTCGGGTTCAACAAGAGCATCGCCAAGAACTGGAACCAGCACCTGGAGCACGAGGCCGTCAGGGTGGTCCTGCCCGATGAGGCGGCGAAGGTCGACAAGTCGAGGATCTTCAAGGTGCCGGCGCGCTTCGTGCATACCCTCAAGGAGGGCCAGCCGAACCGCCGACTTGTGATCCCGGGACATCTCGACCCGGACAACCAGGGCAAGCTTGGCATCAAGCATGCGAAGCGCATGGCGATTTCGTCAGAAACGGCAGGTACACGGACAGATGCACCAGTGGCGCCCATGGTAGGGCTGATGCTGCTGCTGAACTTGGCGGCGCATTTTGGCTGGGATCTCGGGACGTTCGACATCGGCTCGGCGTTCCTCACCGGCAAGACAAACACGAGACGGTTATATGTGATGCCTCCCCGAGAAGGGCTACCTGGAGTTCCTGCTGGGAGCTTGGTGGAACTGCTCAAGGGTGTATTCGGGCTACGAGAGTCCCCTCGCTTATGGTGGGAAAGATTCTCGGAGGTGTTGATCCAGGCCGGATTCCAGCCGCTCAAGACCATGAAAGGAGTTTTTGTCATTCGGAGCGACAAAGGCAAGATCGAGGCGGTCCTATGTGTTCACGTGGACGACGGACTCTGGGGCGGTACAGGCGAGCGGTTCGCCAGAGCGAAGGAGATCGTACGCGAGAAGCTCAACGTGACCAAGGAGAAGCAGGGTCAGTTCGAGTTCCTCGGCCGGCGCATCAATCAGCTACCGGATAAGTCCATGGAGGTCGACCAGCACGAGTACATCGAGAAGATGGAGAAGATCTTCGTGCCGGCATCCAGGAGGAAGGACCCCGAGAGCAAGGCGACCGAAGAAGAGCTCTCGAAGTACCGCAGCCTGGGACAACAATTATCGTGGCCCGCGCGGACGACACTACCTGGTTTGGCCTATGACGTCAGTGACCTGCAACAGCGGACGCCAGACTTGACGGTCGGCCAGCTGTGCAAGGCGAACACGGTGTTGAGCATGGCCAAGGAGATGGTGACGCGTGACGTCAAGCTACGATTCCATCGCGGAGATGGATCGGGACGATTTGGATGTATGTGTGTACACGATGCCTCGAACGACAGACAGCCGAGGAGTGGATCGCAACAAGGATTCATTCTCCTGCTAACCGACGAGAAGTTCGAAGCCAAGAAAGTCAACGTGGTGGACTGGTGCTCGAGCAAGATCCATCGTGTGGTAAGATCTACATTGGCAGCGGAGGCGGCCAGTGCGAGCTACGGGTTCGACAGGGCGTGCTTCGTGAGGACGGCATTGGCCGAGATATTGTACGGCTGGGAATCAGAGAGCGACTGGACGACATTGATGGGCAAGATCCCCAGCCTGTGCGTGACGGACTGCAAGAGCTTCGTCGACCTCTGCCGTAAGGAAGGGAGCATGCCGACGGAGAGGAGGATCGCGTTGGACCTCGCAGATCTTCGAGATCGATTGGAAGTCGGAGACGGCTTGATATGGACAGACACCCGCCTGATGCTTGCCGACCCCCTGACCAAGCACATGAAGGATCAGAGCTATTTGGAGCATGTCCTCAAGACGGGAGAATACGTCTACCGGTGCAAGTATGAGGCCAAGGCCGAGAATCGTGGCGGGGGTGACCCCGGTGAGTGAGAGGCGTCCTGATGTGAATGCTGCCCTAGTAAGGTTTTTCCCTGAACGGGACGCGTGCCTGAACCGCGCAGGCCAGCCTGGCCGCAGGACGCCCAGATGCATGATACAGATTCCATATTGACGATAGCCCGGGTTATAAAGCAAATGGCCCTACGTATCGAGATAGAAGAGGTTGTGTGAAAAGCAGCCGCAGTTGTTGCTTGTAGCACGCAGTTGTTGTTTCAGCATGCAGCGGACTCGATCCGTAGGCCTTGGGTCAAGCTCGGCACGAGCAGCAGGAAAGAAGCATCTTTTCATTCCAAGCAGATCTTCGCAGAGGGGGAGGAGGAGGAGGAGGAGGAGGAGGAGGAGGAGGAGGAGGAGGAGGAGGAGGAGGAGGAGGAGGAGGAGGAGGAGGAGGAGGAGGAGGAGGAGGAGGAGGAGGAGGGGGAGGAGGAGGAGGAGGAGGAGGAGGAGGAGGAGGAGGAGAGGAGGAGGAGGGGGAGGGGAGGGGGAGGGGGGGGGGGCACGCAGGCAACACGGTCTGTAGAGTAAGGCACGACGAGGGCGCAGCGTGAGCTGAAAGCCCTGAAGGCTGGGCGTGCTGTGTCTTCGCGTTCCGCCATTCTTGTACCCTCCTGCCCAGCTCAGCGCCGGCGCAGGGCTGCCGCAGCGTTCTCAGCAGAGGCTGGAGGGGTAACTAATCTTACAGTCGCGCAAGAAGAACAACTGAATACACAACAACCGTCCGAAGACCGCGCGGATGTCGTGGATCGGCGCAGTAAGCCCCTCCCTGGCGATCGGAGCGCGACAGCTCCAAGCGCATATCCAATCAATCCGCGTGGTACTTCGATGCCTTATGCTTATGCATCTTGCTACTATTCGAAAGATGGGGGAACTTCCAGTCGTTTGCATCGCACGCAGACAGAATATTATTGATCCTCACGGTGCCCGTGCCTCCCCAAGAAAGAAGACTTGCCTTCTTGCCGAAGAGGCCGGAGACGCTGCCTGACTCGCGCCCCCAAGCCGCTCCTCCTTCTCTTCGGCATGCTACGGGGCACGCTCGTCCGCCCACTCCTGCGAGTTACCCCCATGTCCACTCACCGCCGTTTTCTCCACGTCCTCCTTCTGCACTTAGTTTCTTACACTCCTGCTGCGCTGCGCACCAACCACAAGACAACGCTCCGACTCGCAGGGTGCACTTCCAATTCAAAAGGAGAGAGACAGGGGAAGGGGAAGTGAAGGTGGGTATTTGATCAGACGGGTCAAAGGTCGGCCCGAAGGACGAGGGAAAGGCAAAAGAGCGAGACACACACACAAAGACGCACACACACACACACACACACACACACACACACACACACACACACACACACACACACACACACACACACACGCGCGTTCGGCGCGGGCGTGTGGCCCGCTGGCTCTGGGGGGATGTGGCGGTGTCTACGGGGCCGCTGCACCACCTCAGTGCTGTGATGTATTAGACTTCCGCCTACGAGACGCAGTGCCAGCACGGGCTTGCAGCTAGCACAAGGCAGCAATACGTCCTGGCCACCTCCACTGGGGCCCCGCTCGCAAACGGCCCCGTGCAACGCAAAATGGTGCCACGATGCCCCTCCCCCCTCCTCCCGGAAAGAGCAAGAGAGGGCTGCAGACGCTTGCTCCAAATGAGCTGTCTGGCGCGTGCTGTTCATCTAGGCGCGAGGTTGTCCGTGCTTCTCTCAAGTCCAGGGCGAGCACTGGGCGAACGTGAGCACTCTCGGAGTGCATGGTCAGGGCTCTCGAACATGTGTCTGACATTTCACGGCGTGGGGGGAGAAGGGGGGGGCGGGGGGAGAAGGGAACGACGAAAGAGAAGGAACACGAATGTAAAACAATCGGGAACTGGTGCAAGACAGATCGACGAGCCACATATGGTCAGCCGGCTTCCGTGGACGCCGCTCTCCTGGGGGGGTGGGGCCGCACATGCGGGAGGAGGGGAGAGGGCGAGCGAGCGAGGCGCCAGTGCTAGGTCGGGCGTGCCCTCCTACAGTTGCATATCGAGCAACAACAATAGAACATAGCCCAAACATTTTCACATCTAAAGAAATATGTTTTAATATAGTCCCCATACTATGTTTGACAATGTTTTGAATGTTCCTCCTGTAGAGGGACACGCCCGACTTAACGCCAGTGCAGGCTCATGCGGCGAAACGCGTGTGCCTGTGCCCGTTTAAGCAAGGCGGGTAAGGCCGTAGCAGAAGGGGGAGGAAGAGAAAGAGCAAGGACCGACACATCCGTAGCAGGGGGGGGGAGGAGGAAGGGGGAGGAGGTTCGGAGGGAGAGAGGCGGAGGGGGGGAGGAGGTCAGCAGGAGAGGGGGGCGGAGCAGAGCGGAGGCGGACGTGCGGAGGGAGGGGGGGGGCGAGGGGGAGCGGGCCAGGAATATCCGAGGACGAGCAGCAGCAGCAGCAGGAGGGGCGGCGGGGGCAAAGGGACCACCTCGAGACTACGGAGCAGACGCTCGATGGCGTCGCAGCCCTGCACCAGTTGAAACTGCAACGACACGGGCGACGGGAGACGCAGCGGACATGGCAGGCGGCTCGCACGAACGCGTGCCGTGCCTCGGGGCCCCCTGAACGAAGACGCTGCCTACCCAGGACTCTGAAAGGTCCACTCGGAAGTAACGAGGTATGGCGAATGTCTCGACCCCCGGCTGCAGCAGTTCTCGGGCGCGCCGACGCCATTGTGTTCGTCAAAAATCCCGACCAGGAGGCCACGAGTGCTGCGATGGAGGAACCTGCCGGATGGATGGCCGACTCAGGAAACCCGGAACGCCCCCCAGGACAACAAAAAAACAGCGTCCTCTGGAGGAGACGCTCTTGCTTCCGCAGACTCTCGCCGACACTCGGCCACCAAGACGGCTCCCGACGGCGTCAGACGTGCCAGGAACCCACCAAGATGGCCGAAGTTGGCTCGAAGCTGGCCCAAGACGGCCCAAGAGGCCCCCAAGAGGGCCTCCAGGAATGCCAGAAGAGGCCCCAAACATGGATATTCCTATGGTTTTTGACGGATTTTGATATTTGCTTCCTTTCGCCAGAGGGGCCGCTCACCCCCTGCTTTCCGTCCGCCGAGGGCGAGAAACTCAGCCTCTCGACTCCTCAACGGCAAAGGCCGCGCTGGAGCGCCCAAGATTCAGGGTGCTGACCGCAGCGTACGCTGGAGGGCGCCCAGACGCCTCTGAGCAGAGCAGATGGGGCCGTTGGGCGCCCTCGCGCCCGCCGGAAACATCACCGCTGCGGGCGGGGTACACGTCGAGCTCGTCTTGGCCCCGCCGCAGCTTTTGCCACGCTGCTACCAGATCGAGAAGACCGACCCGTGGCTGAGAAGGTGAGAATCGGGGAGACGTGAGACTCGGGTTGGGGGGACTCGGGTTGGCCCGACGGGGCCATCATGAAACTGATGCGACCCAGTCTGAAATTCGACGCGGGCTCCCGCTGCAGACATCCCACGGACACGGGATCGCCAAAACCCAGGACGCGCTCGTCAAAAAGCGTCGGTAAACCCAAGTTCCAACGTACTCGAATATGGGGGACACCAAGAGGTACCGCTACGGCTACCCCCCAGACCTCTCCCGGGGCGCGTTCGGACCAGGATTTCGAGGCGAATCCAGCGGCGGCGGCGAGGGCCTCCCAGGAGGGCCCAAAAAGGGGACAACGAGCGAAGGGTAGAGGTATGGGTACTGCACCTTTCCCTCCTCCGAAAAATATGACGCTAACCCCGCGAGACGAGAGCAACGGGAAAGAGCGAGCGACGAGAGGCCTCGCCATCGCTCGGACGTCCATTCCCTGCGTTTTTTTTTTTTTGTTCGGTGTCGTGCGTGGCTTTGTTCGGCAAATGGTCAAGGATGCTCCTCGATGGTCCTCGCCGAGGAAAAAACGCACACGTCCGAGCGATGCCAGGAGGAGGACCGACGGCAGGGCGATCGGGCGGGGCCGGGCCGCCGACTCGGCGCCCCCCGCGGGGCTCCTGCGGGGGCGCGCGCCTCGGCCACGCAGGACCGCGAAGCGGACGCGTGCGAGGCGCGCGCGGCCGCCCCCCTCGCGCCGATCGCCTCGACCCAGAGCGGGCCCCCAGGACTTAGGGGGCAAACAAACCTACCTCGCTTTTGACCACCCTCGCTTCCAAGAGATACCAAGCGATGCCAAACTGCGGCCTGCGCTGGTCAGGCCGCTTGACGAGGAGGCGCGTGGTACGACTTGGTTTCGCCTGGAAGCGAAAGCGGGGTAGGTAATTCACGCTCTGAGGACTGCGAGGCGGGGATCTATCCAGATCCACCGCCTGGGGACCGACGTCCTGGTGCCCCAGCGGGCGGTGGACATGGATATATTTCGGAGCGGGCGGTGGACATGGATATATTTCGGCCCCCGGGGGCCCGAGTTTGTCCAGATCCACCGCCTGCCGAGGCTCCGAAAACTGACCCTCCGGGCGGTGGATATGGATACAGTCCCGCCTAGGAAGGACCCCCTGCGGCGCCCACATCGAGCAGAGACGAGCAGGCGCCAACGGACGGGCGGCGTGCCGGCGCGCTGGCATTTCGGGGCCCGTGCGTGTCAGAGCGTCGGCCATCTTCTCGTAGGGCCGCGTGGGGCGAGCTCGACGAGGGTCGGGCGTTGGCAGAGCTGGGTTTAATGGAACCTGGTTTAGAGATGTGTACCGGGGGACGCCCCCCCCGCCCCGTTTCCACTCACCGGAACTGCCGTCTCCCGAGAAAAAAAACGCTATGGCAAACCTGGTTTCGTGATTCTGGCCACTTCGAAGGCCCCAGGGCCCTACCACTAACGGGGTCCCCTTACCCGGGGTCCTGGCCATACAGTCGGGGCGTTGACCTAAGGAACCCTAAATTAGGAACGAGGCCCCTTTTTTCCATGAGTTAAACTTCGATTTCCCATCGAAAACCTACGGAACACAGAAGGCAAACAGTGAAACAATTAAGGAACACGGAGCCCCTCCCCAACGAGAAGGGTTCCTTCTTCA